TTCTGTGGACAGTGGTGACTCCAGCAGAAAAGCAGCTGCTGAGCTTGGGCCTGTGGCCTAGCTCCTCCACGCCTGCCCCTGTCAAGGATGGGCCAAGGCTCCTCTGTGAGAGAACAGGAGGGACATTCCCTTTCTCCCACCTCTCACCCGGGGACCCTTCTCCTGGCTGCAGGGCCTCATCTGGCCTAGAAGGGCAGTGAAAACATTTGGGGGAACAGGAGCCAGTCTTCTCCTAAGATCTGCCCCTGGTGAGAAGACCAACGCTGAACAGCCCTCAGCAGGGCCATGAATGTTGCAGAGGCAGGGGTGAGGCACGCAGCAGGCTCTCTTCACAGGCTGTCCTCTCCCCCAGGGCCTGGGCTCCCTCCCGGCTCAGCACCTGCACCACTGCTCCTGTCCCAAGTCCTGCCCTGGAGACAGAGGCACCAGCAAGGGTGACAAGGGATGTTTGCCTGTCACCTCTACTGTCTCCCCTGCCCAGCACTGGGCTGGCACGTGACACAAATGCCTCATCACAGCTGTGAGTGCAGCTCAGCCACAGCCCGAGTCTCCCCATATTTCACAATGAGGTTTTCCCAAAACTCAAAGGTGTCTGTGCTGAGGAAGAGCCTCGAAAACCTTGCTCCAAGACGAGGGCAGGTGCAAAATGGGTCAGTCTTCTAGACCCTCTCAACTACTGCCCATCATGCCCACTTGGACTCTCCCCAAATGAGTTAATACCACCAACAGCTAACCCTGCTGCTTTCTTTGTGCGAGGCCCTTCTGAACACCGCAGATGGATGCTGACTCACCCTCACAACCACCCCATGAGGGAAGTAGCCCATTATCCCATTTTACAGATGAGGAAACTGAGCAGAGGTGGGAACTAACTTGCCCATGGCCACACAGCAGTGGCCAAGGCAGGATCTGAAACTGGCATTCACTGTCTGATGGCTCAGATCTTGTAAGGGTAACTGAGCCACACTTTGCTCAGATACCTTTCCCCCCACACCCCCTCCTGCGACAGGCTTGGAACAAGGTCCCCAAGGCTCCAGGAAATAAACTTCTACTTTCTAAATTCAAATCAGCATCCACTGCAGCTCAGGCCCTCGCCCACCCCCCCTTTCAGTATTTCTTGCCGAGGTGATGTCTGGGCCTGGGTCCCCACATCTTCCCAGCCCACCGAGCCATCTTCCAGATGCTGCTTATACCCATTTCCTAAAATTCACATTAAAGTGCGCTACTCTGAAAATCCTTCAAGAGCTCCCGCTTGCCTTGGAGGTTAAAAAAACACACCAACCTCCAGGTGGCCCAGCACCCCAGGATCAGTGAAGCGAATTTCACCAAAGTGAGGAGGCAGGCGAGGCAGCAGCCACAGGGCCACCCTCGCTGACACTGACTCTTGATGGAAAATGCGAGCTACCAAGAACCAGTCTCTACTTCCAGGAAAACCCATCCTGGCCAGCTAAAACGTGTCTGCAAGACAGGAAACCGAAACTGGCTTTCAGAATGCCCCGAATATCTGAAGCGAGACGGCTGTTCTCCCTCCCAGCCTGTTCCCAAAGGCTGCTGCCTCTCTCCACAGAAAATGCAGCATTACCATGCCCGGGAAGAGAAGGCGGCCGCCTTGAAAACAAAAGCAAAAACTGTGCCCAGCCCGTCGCCTTGCATTTTGTAATCAGTGTAATAAACTCCCACCCACATTCGCCCCAAACATGTCAGGAAGGGCTGCGGAAAAAAGATGTCCCTTTAATAAAACGTTATCAACATATATCGTACACAAACTACAATGTATCATAATTACTTTTTTTCCTCTCTTAATTCAGAACCAGACTACAAGGTAAGAAAAAACACAGAAACAGCTACAATGTTCCCAATAATCCGCACAAGGTCTTTTTTCAGGCAGATGATATCTCACATAATATGATATACATGGATCAGAAGGGGGGAGAAACAAAGACCAGCTACGGGGAGGGGGAGGAGGGAGTAAATGTACAAAGAATTCGGGTGTCTCCAGGGCAAGACACAGAGGTTTCCATGGGGGTGCTGAGGTGAGGGAGGCCGAGTCACCCCTCCTGGGAGGGGACAGGCTCCACTGTCGAGTGTGTCGGTTTTTGAAAATAAAAACAGGACTGGAAACAGCATGTCTGTATGGTGGCTGGTGTCCCCCCACCCCCCACAGCTATTCCAAAGTCTTTCCATCCAGTTCCAAGCATATGCTGAGCAGTTCTGGTCAATATCCCAGTCTTTGTAAAAGGAGGAAGGGTCAACAGAAAAAAAACAAAAGCAAGCCCCAAACTCCAGCCCTACGCTGCCAGCAACACGAGGACCATGCGAGGGCCAAGGGGCCGAGGGCGCAGCGGTCAGTTTCCACGTCCCCGGTCACAGCCACCGTGGAAGGGGCCACCACCACCCAGCTGGCAGATTCTCGCTGGGAAGCCTGGGGCGGGGGCCGGGCCGCAGGGGGTGGGTCCAGGAGGAAGCAGTCCCGGGAACACAGTGCCAGCCGCCGGGTTGAGGGTTGTGGCGAGTCTCCGCCCTGGGGGGTCTTGAAAGCCTTCAGGTGGCCTGGCCCTGGCCCATAAGGGGGTGGGGCAAATTCTGGGGTCCAAGTTGTGCAGCTGCTATCGCCACCTTGGCCAGGAGAAACTAAACAAAAAAACCAAAAAAAAAAACCCCAGGTCCCGCCCCTCCCTTGCCCATCCACATGCCAAAAACCCCCAAGGGGAAAGGGGTGACTTCCTTTTTCTTTCCAAAGAAGGTCTTTTGAAAGAAACCACTGATTGTAAACTGCCCAGTTTATTATTATTATTATTATTTTTAGGTGGCTACAAAGACAGTGTGCGATCTCACACCTAGACTAGCTTTCCTGGTGGAAGGGCTGGGTAGAGGCAGCAGGGCTTGGTGCCACGTGGGGTTTTTTTGTATTTTTCC